CACACCTTCACCAAACCAAAACAAGAAGCACTTGTTGAAACAACACCAGCTAAGTCATATATTACGAGCAGAAAAATCACTGGTTTGTACACAGCTGCACTACGTGCCATTATTTGCAGTATTTATACAAGTACTTTAATAGCTAACCCAACCCTAACTTATGAACTATATACTATAGACCATTTGTCAAAAAACCTGTGGTATGGCCTGGAGGTGCTTATGCCTTACTGCAGAGATAAAAAAATTGCTTGCCTTTGAGTAGTAGCATAACTCCTTAATATCCCAGGCTCATTACATACTAAGGCTTATTATTCAGCAACTACAGGGACCTCAGTGAAAACAGTTTGAGCTATTCTTAGGTCATAGAAGTGTGTGATAAAACTTTAGCCATGTAAAGAGTTAAATGACAGCCTTCTCCAGTTTACTTAACAATAAGAAAAAAAAACCTTTACAAACAATAAGAAATGAACAGCACCAGTGGGAATCAGCATTGTTTCTCATGAGGGAAAGAACTTCTTTGGTGTTTACACCTCTCCATCAGTGAACATGAACACCTGCAGAGAGAGAAGAAAGAATCAGAGAACTTCAAGCCATTTAGATAAAATTATTAATAAAGAGGAACTCCAATCATATGTTCTGCTACAATTCTCACAGAACTACAGCTTTAAGTAAATGTTTGTGTTTTGTTCAATAAAGATGTTGCATGTGATGATGTTACCTGTCTGGGCTGGTTAGGGATGCACTGCTGACTGTAGATGTGTTTCAGAGGCTGCAGAATCTCAGTGCCACCCATGTCTGCTTCCATCTCCTTTACTCTGTTCACAGCCTGGTCCATTGTCTCCTGAGTGTATTCAACACTCTTCCTGAAGACAGAAAACACACACACACACACACACACCACACACACACACACACACACACAGACCAGAGTCCTAAATGTTAAACCAGTCCTAAATCTACTTCTGTTCTGAAAGTGTCTCATTCATGAACTGAGAATGTGATGTATATTCACTCATTGAATCCATTTTTCCCATGAGTGAATTTATATCACAGTCTCAGTTCAAAACCATGGATGTTGTAGTAGCAGTGCAGAGGGAGACTGTTAATAAATGTTGTTCAACCTAAATGTATTTTTAATTCTCCAGAAAAAAGTAATCTACAGTCAGTTCAGTGGTGAATCTTACCCTGACATAGTCAATGTGCGTCTGTGCACCTGTTCCATTATGTGCTGCACAGCTCATACTGCCAGATCCATTACAAAAACAGGCTCACCATAAGATGGTACAGATGACATCAGTGCCTCAGGGAACTCTGGGTACAAACTTATCATGACCCACAAGGTCTCCCAAGAGAGTCCCTAAAGGAAGGAAAAATAAATGGAGGAAAGGAAGCAAAAACAGTAAGACAAGAAAGAGAGTGCCTGTCCCCCTGCCTGCCCCCCACCCCCAAACCCCCACCCCCCAACCCACTGGCACTGTGTAGCACAACCAGCCACTGATTTCACATTGTGATTTAAATTCTGTTTTAAGAAGGTTTAGTTTCAGTGAACAGTGGAGATAGCACCGATCTGCGGTCAGCCAGTATCAGAATCAGGCTTATACTGACATAAAATGCTGGATCAGACATTGATTATCAGAAAAAAGAGAAACCAATCTAATTCTGTAGAAATCTAGGCTGAAATACCGCATAATTGCTTTTAGCACAACATAACATGAAGTAAAGCAAAGCAAGTTACAAGATAACAACAGCAGCCACATGTAGCCTTTTTTATGAAAGTGTAACTGAACTAGTTGGTTATGTATTTTTAAGTGTTTTGTTTGAGCGTGGCACTTTTAGATTAAGTGAAGTGCTTTAATTAACAGCAGCTCATTTTACAGTGTAGTACTCTTCAAAGAAAAAAAACAATATCTGACATGTCATCTCAAACAAACAGTTTACCTGGCTGTGCTGTGGGCTCTCCTGCCTCCACTATAGCAGTGGGCTGATGCGTGTTATAATATAGGAACAGCTCAACATCTCTGTCAAACATATGACCTACACACCAACTCATCCAAACACACACACACACACATAGAATCACATAAAATGATAGTTTTATTCATTTTACTGCATTGTTAACCCTCTAAACATGTTATATTTCTCTGTAACGGTAATATATGTAATCTCAATCTCTATATTCTAGAAATGTTTATGAATGCACATGAAAGGTCTCAGATATTGGCATCAGCTCACAATTCCCACATTGGTCAATCCCTAGTACATTTTCAAATACACTCATACTTGTCCATTCGTGTGGTCTGTATTGAGGCGCATCAGAGGCTCACGAGGACATTTGGACTCTACTTTAGTGATGAGGTTGGGAGAGCTCACATGGGCAGTGAGAGAGAGAGAGTAGGGAACACCTGCTGGTGATGACATTATCTCTGACACTATACCACCACCTGTACCTGTGAGAAAAACAGAGGAATCAGAGATAACAGCTCATTTTGGATATTTACAGTATAAATAGATGGCGAATTGATGTTTGTTTATAATGATTCCTTATTTTCCTTATATTTCTATATCCTACAATCAAGTTCGAACTGTAAACTCAAATTACATTCATACTAAACTTGGTGCTGTGGGTCAGACTCAGACTGCATTCAGGTGTAGATTCTAAACTCAGTGCTGAGGGTCGGACAGAGACTGCATTCAGGTCCAGGTCATAATTCCAGACCTCATTAAAGCTGTAATGTGTAAGAAGCCAAGCGTCATGTTGTTCAGGACGGTGTGTTTGGTTCATGATGGAAAGGTGCAGTGTGTGTCTTTCAGTGAGCTGGAGCAGTTTGGTACCTGGTGGTGTGTAGCGGGGGTTGAGCACTGCAGGCAGGCAGAAGCGCAGGGCGTGGTCAGCCTGCACAGAGAGCTCAGTAACGTAGATGAAGGTAACAGCAGCACTCTGGGCTGGAGGCAGACTCCCCACACTCAGCCTAAACACATCCTCACTCTCGTCTCTCTCCTCCAGCAGAAAGGCCTGATCTCCTGAAGCAATCGCATCATCATACTCCTCCCGCGCCTGAAGTACAGACAAAACACTTCAGTCTGGAGCTCTACAGGTTCATATTGTTTTTACTCTCAGAAAGAAATTCCAGTCTGAGAGTACGAGTGTCTATGCTGATTTATTACTCCAGCTATCTTCAGTAGTCAAGGTAACTCCAGAGGTGTGGCAAAGTGGGAACTCATTTATTTGATTTTCATTACAAATCTATTTGAACCACGCAAGGAGTCGAATAACCTGCTCTTGAAAGCAACCAGTGAAACAGGGTGTAAATCATGCATCAGCTGCAGGCTTGGGGAAGACAAACAGGGCCTCCAGGGGGCGCTTTTCTTCTTTCACATACTGCAGAGTGGAGCTCACTGTAGCTACATGACCTTTAACCTGCAGATCCACCACTGTGCTCTACAGAGGAACTAAGCAGGAAACATATAGGACTAGATCTGGTATCTGCTGATACAGAGTCCAATCCAGTCAGAATAGTTCTCAGGTTATTGATTCTTTGAGTCTCAGGTTGTTGTTTCTTATATTTTATGTTCTAAATTTAAACAGCTGAATTCATGTGGAGGAACATCCCACCCTCTTTCAGCTTTAGAGCAGAAGAAAATAAGTAACTGCTCCAAAATCAGTATTGTAGCATCTGTCATGCTCCACGCTGCCCTGAGGAGCTTAGGGGGTGTGGCCATGCAAAGTGGCTCTCAGGAGGCGCCACGCTCCAGACTGAAGAAGAACATTTGTTGTAGTAGCTGTTGTTGGTGATGTTATTAGTGGAGTTTGTAGTTATTGGTGTAATTGTGACTGAGGAGGGTGGGTTTACAATGTGTTACAAGTGTGTACCCTCCCTGTCGTGTCCCTCCACGATACCCCTTCCCTGTGTTTTGTGCTAGGTAGCCCTGGACTGGGTATTTTGCTGCCTGTTGAAGTGCCTGTCTAGAAATAAAAGAGCATTTGCCTGTATATGAATTGTTGTCTGTGTCTTCTACTGCACAGGTGCTGCAGTATTTTTAAGAATGTAAGAAAGAATGAGGATGACATGAGCAGGGGCATTGGATCGTGGCTAATGATGGACCTGACTAACCCAGGCCCTCCCTAGATGGGGGGGTCCTCCAAAAGCCTTGGCTATAAACTGATTTTGGTTTCTAGTTTTGATACTCTCTGTTATTATAGAAATAAACAATATGAGACGGCATCTTCCATGATAAGTTCTGCTTATCTCTCTGTTGGTCCCATGATCGCTTCACCCCCACCTCAAAAGCAAAAGTGGTTTGATCTTCCGACACACACTATCATTAGTGGCTGTACACCAATGCTGAACTGGTTAAAATGAACCAAACTCAGGATTTCAGAAACGAAAGGAGCAGAGAGTGAGAAAGCAATAACTGGGCAAACAACTTCTGACCATTTCTTTCAGAAAACAGGGGAGCCTTAAGTACCCAACAGTAAATATGTTGTAGTAACATATTGTTGCTGTCCAAAGAAAAACATGTATCTCAATTTTTGTCAATTTTCAGTTTTCTGCATCATTTGAACACGTTGGCTGTCCTTTACATCGAGTCAAGATTTCATGATGAATGGACCAGTAGAAATGCTCCAAAATGACCTGAAATAAATTCTCTTCACATTGACTTACATTAAAAGTAAAGAACTTTTTTGCCCTCTGCTGCAGAGTTACCATTTTGGAGATACTTGTTCTTTGCACAGTGATGATGAGCTAGTTAGTGGACTAGAGATTAGCCATAGATATACATACATTTTCACTCTTGATTTTGGAATTTTCAGTGTATCTACAACCTTTCTTACAGACAATTTATTACCTGGAAAACAATATTTGTCAGATTAATTCAACTCAATATTCAAGTTTTCTTTGAAGTTCCTTTTCTCTGTCTTTCACAATGTTAATGAAATGACATCTATGTAGTATGGCATTTAGTCTTGATTTTTAAAAGGATGAAAAATATTTCACTCATTCAAAAAAAAACATTTTATTGGCAGAAGTAATGCTTGCAAATTTATTAAAAATATTGCGATAGTTAGCTCCAGTCGTTAAATGTAACAGCTCCATATGTCATCTATTCAGAACAGACAAAAAGTCACAAAGCAGTTAGAAATAAAAGAAATAGGCCTCTTTAGCTTAATTATAGCATAATGATTCGAACATACAAAGGTAACAGAAACTGTACTCTCTTCTGAAAAGCAATATTACTTAAAAATGATAATGTAAAACTAATTTTGCTAAAATCAAACCAGTTAACATCAGTAAATGAGGTGTAGGTTGGAAAGTCTGCATTAGGCACAGTAGCTTTAGAGCAAGAATGTTTGAAGACTTCAGAGTCCAAGATCCTCTTCTTTAACCTGGCAGCCCAGCAGATCATTACCCACACGAACACTCTCAGAAAGACTGACCACTGAAACACACACACACACACACACACACAAATCATCATCATCATCATCATCATCATCATCATCCTCACTGCAGTATAACAGGCCTAATAATGGACCTTAGAACAAACAATGTTCGTTGTGTTGAGTGTAACTGTTTGGGGTTCTGATCAGTGATTTCTGGTGAGAATGGAGAGTTTACCTTTCTGGTTGCGGATCCATGTCACTGCCTTCATGGCCACAAACTGCCACTCAACTTGAGCGTCCATCTTAAACCCGTGTAACCAGATCAGAGCCAGAATTGTAGCCCAGACCCCCTTCTCCACCTGAACACAACACCACACACAACATACAACATAATACATCACCCATACATACATATAAATACCAAGTACTTAGAACTGTCTAAGAACATTCTTCTAACTGAATGTAAACCTTCAAAAATATACAATCCATACATACAAACAGAATATATACAAATTTTTAAAAATCTCAGGGACATTTGCACTTAAATGTCTACAAGACAACTGTCAGAGTAGCTTGTCCTTTATAAAAAATGTAGGACAAGTCAATGTTACATCACAACAGCAAAGAACTCACATCCAGGTGGATAAAGGAGGCGCTGCAGTGGTACAACAGGATTTTGTACCAATCCTGATAGTTATTTAACCAAGAAAAACAGAAAGCTTGAACAGATTTTCCTAGATCAATAACTTAATAACATTGTGTAGTTATTTTTTGTCACATAATTGTGCACCAGCTACACATTTCATTGCAGGGAAGCATTTCACTTTATCAGGGTGTTTTTCTACTGCACTTTAAAAATCAAGAACTGACCTAAACATCAATCAACTGAACTTACACTTCTAGTTCTAGTTCATTTCCACCTGCTAAAGAGACAGCTGGAACCACCATAGTAATTACTATAGTAATATTTTAATGGTCTTTTTACCTTACCCTGCTAGAAAAAACAGAATATGTTGTGTTTTGGATGCTGGTATGCTGGTCAACCAGTATGACCATACTGAGTAATCAGCTTAAACCAGCACCAGACCAGCACCAGAGCAGCACTAGACCAGCATAAACCAAATAAACCAGGTTTTCAGCAGGTTCTAATTTGGCTAAAGAGGCTTATGAATGTGATGTCATGATATTGTGTCTTAGAGGTGATCCATTGTTTCAGTCATGTAGGCAGATTCTAGAAAGTTGAATGACATTAATTTTCATATCTGCTTTCCTTGACTTTTCCTGATCTGTAGCTAATGGCCTCTGGATTAATTGTTAATAAATAACTGTTAACATGACCAGCAAACGTGACTTTGAACAGTTGTAAACACATAAGATCATAATACTTTTCATTAAAATACATAAAAACCTGTACAAAATTTCAGAAAATATGTGTTTTGGTAGTGACAATTCTTAAGGTAACACACTGATTCAGACTTTGGGACACATTTCCTTCAAAACAATGCGCTCTATCTGCTCATCATGTGGCCATGAGGGACAGAGATCTCACTTTCCCCTCTAAAATGCAGGGGTGTGGCTAAAATAAAAAATCTAGTTTTTTTATTTAAAAATTAAATCAATGATAAATCAAATCTTTCAACTTCACTTTAAAAGAAATCAAAAAGATCTTTTTAAAAACAATATTTAAAAAAAAACATTAGAATAAATTCTTCTTATTATTATTATTACTAATATTATTAAAAAATTTACACAAGTAGAAGAGTGTTAGAGTTTGGGACAGACACCTCTCAACAGAAAATACCCTATAATGATTTTGTATATATTTAGCTGCATAGTGTCTCTAATCTTTGCAAAAATAACAATTCAAAGGTTTGAATACTTAATTGTTTTGAACTAATTTGGTCTGTTTAGCTATTTAGTAAGTCTGAATAATGAAAAAGTTCCCATTATTATGAATTAGCATCTCGTTATTATGGGTTGCTATCTTATAATAATGAAATCTCATAAAGAAAGTTTCTCATAATTTTGACATACTATATCATAACTCTGACTTACTGTATTATAATACAATACTTGCTATCTCATAATTGCGGCTTAGTATCTTATAATAATGACTCCAATGTTCTCATTATTATGAGATAGTAAGTCATTATTATGGAATATTATGTCATAATTAGGTCAGAATTACTAAGTCAGAATTGAGATGCTAAGGGGGGAAATGTTCCTTTCAATTATTATAATACACTATATGACAGAAACAGGCTTCCATAAGATGTACTTAAACACATCAGCTAAAAAAACAGTCTGGGAATGACAGAAGAGGTAACGTTAACATATCCACATCATTACTCCACTGTTTTGGACATTGTTAATAAAACCGATAGTGGACACATACAGTTGCAAGTGTCTCAGTACCACCCACACACCAAGGAATTAAGTTTTAGCTCCTAAAATAAAAACTTAAAAATAAATAAATAAAAACTAAGAACAAGTTTTTACTTTAAGTGTAAATTTCTCTGTCAAACTCCAGCAGTAGATCACAAGATCATCATACAGTCTGTATTACTTACACCTTATTTATAACACCTTACATTCAATACATCACTCACTTGTACCGGTGTTTGCTTGATCACCTCTTCCTCTGTCTTCCCAAACACCTCCGCCAGTGCACCGTCCATTTCCCAGCAGCCTGACGCCTTCTGGAGGGAGATGAGCTGCAGTAGGGGGTCTTTAACAGCCTTTACACGGTCTTCAACAGAATCCTCTTCTACAGAGGCACATGCACCCAAATTTTATTGTATGTCTAAGAACTAATCACAAAAATAATAAGCACAAAAAATGACCCTTTTTTCCTGTATGGATTATTTCAAAACATCGCCAGAAGTAAAAGGTGACAAGCTGACGTGCTGTAGAATCATGGTCATGATATGGAATACAAGTCTTATGAATATTTAACAAAAGCAGATGAAGCAAATACAGTGGGTGAAGCAAATACTGATTCAATTCACTTCCAACTGAATGAACGGATCGATCCTCTCCTAAAATCTGAGTGGCTGAGGCGCGTTTAAAGACATTGTAAAATACTTGACATACACCTGTAAGCGCCTCATAAGACTGGAAGTCTGTATTACTGTGTCACGAAAAAACCTTCAGCTGCTAATGGAATATTCTTTGACTGTGATGCTGCTCACATGGACCAATGATTGTACTGATGAAGTAAGAACAAGGCTGGCTTTAGCCTTTTGGGGTCCCTAAAAGGATTATTTTGCCACCCCCCACCAGCTTGCTAGATGATTTACTGTAAAAATAAAGGCTAACTAATAACAATGACTACCACAGACTGTCTACATTATGTAAATGTATAACTGGCTATTTTGTAGATTGCTAATAATTGGATGCTCATTTAAGGTTCTAATAAATCACAGTTTCAATTACAGATAATCTTCTCAGCACTCTTGATCCAGTTTTGCGTCTCACCACGCAGTATTTCTTGCTTATCCAGCTTCAAGCGGATTTAACTCTGTTGGCAGTGGTGACAGTGTTGCTTTTTGCCTTTGTAAATGTTTTACTCACTACATATTTAGGTTTATTTAAAATTTCTTTTTCAAGGTGACTCCTCCTCATGTTTCAGGGGATCTGCTGTTCCTTATAAACGTCATGCTTTCATGCATGGACATGCAGAGACCCTTAAATGGGCAGGTGCTCAAGAATGAGGCCAAATTGATGAAACACCAACTACTGCATAACTCTTTAACTCTCTAGCAACAACCAGTATTAAAAAGAACATAACATGGAATCTTATATCACACCATATTACACTGCTAGATTGCCTTTTATCAAAATAGTGTTATTTTAAGATACCATCTGTCAACGCTCTAATATAAACAACACAATAGCCGAATAAAAATATCACAATATCTTGCTAATTAACAGTGGCTGAAGCTTTATTTAAACAGAATTACTTTCACACAGTGTATAATTCTGACTACTTAATCTTGATTCTCATGGCAGCTGGCAGCCAATAAAATGTGATTAAACTAGTCAACGGTCAGAACAAACACGTTTTTAAGCCTGCTACCACAAGACAGGCTGTAACAGAAATGTATTTTCAAAATGGATGATGGCAAAACAAAGAGAACCATCCCAAAAAATCCTCTGCTCTCAATTTAAAAATGTTAAAAAGGCCATCAGCCCTGCTGGTGTCCTAGGCTTGAGCTTTATCAGTTAATTTTCTTCATGTACTCAATAAAGTAACCACACGGCCAGTGTTGTAAAAGCCAATATGTTTCAAATGAACCATTTCAAATGAATAACAATTTGAATAGTCCAGCAAAGACTTAGCATACCAGCTAAAAATACAGGGGTTTAAAAATCTGCAACAGATTTTTTTGCAGGAGTATTTTCATACACATGGATCATTATTCAGTCAAACTAGCAAATAATCAACTAACCGTCAAATAGAATGAAAAAATGAACATCTTTGAGCAGGCACTGTCATTGATATGCGTGTTCAGCTGATGGTGATGTTAATCATGCAGATTAATCTAAAGATGTTTTTATTTCTGTTCTGTCTTTGTAAATGGGTAGAAAACATTCTGGCACGCATAGAAACAGTTGCTAAACAGTGATTGGAGGACCAAGAAAATGAGGTGGGACGTGAGAGCCGTCTTTGAGACACCGTCGGTTAAACTTGCACGAATCATTAATGACGCATTTGTTAAAATTTAATCCACATTATTTTAGCACCTGTTGTTGTGTTAAATTATTAGTCATGAAGGGGGAAAAGGGGCACATGCTCCACCAACCACAAGACAAGATAATAATACAGTAATAATCCAGAAGTTGTTAGGGGGCCTCCTGGTGCCCGTGGGGCCCAAAGCAACCACTTAACGTTGCTTATTAGGCAGAGTCGGCACTGAGTAAGCCCCCGGTTTTGTTTAAACTGCAGGACTGACAATTTATTTTCTGAACTAGAACCAGGCTGATCAGCTAGCTAACAGGCTAAACAACACCTTTATTCAATATCACAGGATTTGAAGTATTTACTACTTGTTTTTGTCAGATCTGCCTTAAGTAGCATCAAATCAAGGCTAAATCCCAAACAGCAGCCTCCCTCCTACACAGTGTGCCATGTATATTATGTTACATTCTGGCTTCAACATCCAAAAAATGCTCTATTTGTCCAATATGGAACTGTATTGTTAGACATTATGCAGTGTTTGGGTGCAGGAATTAGTATTTTCATTGCTACAGAATGCACTACTTATGGATTAAGATGCCATTTCAGATTCACCACAGCATGAAAAATGGACATACAGCAGTGTTAGCTTGGTGCTAAATTAGACTGGAAATCACATAGAGGTGCTAATAGAATTTAGCTTGTTTAGATACGTCAGTTGGGTCCTTATTTTATCAGTACATGTCAGTAAGTGTGCAGTGTGTATAAACAGAAAATAATAACTAACCACTGACCAGAATCAAATATTCCAAATGACAATGTTCCTCCACTTAAAGTCAAAGCAAAATAAATTACATATATTTACCCAGGTTGACCCTCATTCGTTTATGACCACCTTTAGAAACATAAAAACAGAAAAAAAGATATTTTTAATAAGAAAGTTATGTATAAGTAATAAACATATTTATAAACATTTACAAGTAAGTAATACTAATGTTGCCATTCACTGGCATATGTTCGTATTTGTCTGTCTCACGTCACTGTATGGCTGCGCTGCTATCTGAGAAAATTATTCTGTGTGCTGTAGTTTGATGTGATAACAGCCACCAGAAAAGAGCAATGAAGTTTTACTGTATTCCTGTTTAAACCAACCAACACGACGATATTTAATCACTTCAGTGTTTGAGCAGTAATATCACTAACATTAATGTTTATTTTGCAGAAGCCGTCTAAACTAATCAACACATACGCCACACAGAACCCTGCAGCCGGTCCACACAGTGCACTGTGTAATTTACCTAACATGAGGGAACTAAGGTAGCGCAGCCAGTTTTTATTTTATTTGCATATCATGTCACCTCAGCTCTCTCGATCTTACACAGATTTTTCATTAATCAGCACCGCTCGCCCACCCAGTGCTGAAGCAGCAACATCACTAGCTACTTTTAATAATGTTCAGGTTTTCACAGAGCACTGCGATGGACCATGTACTGAATACACATTTATGTCTGTAAACATTACATTTACCTTTTTAGTAGATGCTCTAATCCACAAAAATTTAAAATGGAAGCTTTTATATACTGTGTTTATTAACACTAATAAGTGAATATTATCAATCTTGAATTAGTACTAATAACTCAGAATTTTACTCCACCTAACGTCAAAGCAAATTAAGTAATATTCATTTACCCCTCTGGACCATTAGTGAAGCCCCACCTTGGGAAGACAAAAGTAGAAAAAATAATTTACTAATAATTTACTTAATGCACACATAATCAAAAAGAAATGCACAAGTAATAAATCTAATATTAATTAATCTTCTTATATAAGAGTAATAATTGTGTTCAAAAGTAAGCAATAATGCTTTAAACGCATAAAGATGGCAAGTTGGCATTTTCAATGTATGTGAATATTTATACTCTAAAAGTATTTAAACCTTAACTAAAAATAATGAAATCCATCAAATGGAGAATCTATTTTTAGGCCTGCACTCAGTGACAGTTATCTGAGTTACAGCATTAACAGCCCCCGGTGACTGTAAAGGTGTGAAGTAATCTGCGTTTAAAACAGCAGTGTCAGCTTTTCATTTAAACCACCACTCTGCCATTCGTAACATGAGTGGTATGAAAAATGATTGTTTCCATCTTTAATGTAGTCTAAGAACCTACTATCAAGCTCCTGAGCAAAAAATATACACATAAGAATGTTTGAACAGTCAAATCTGTATGCACTGAAAGTGCAACACATTATCAGCACCTTTACAGTAACCTAGAGGTAGTGGCTTATCTAAGGTTGAAACTTAGTTTATTTGTTGGTTCTTATTTCATTAGTAAATATGAATAGGTGTGAAATAGTGGGTGTTATTATATTGTGTGTAAACAGTAAATAGTAACTAATAATTTCTAAGAATCAAATATTCCAACTTACAAGTTTACACCATTTAAAGTTAAATCAAGATAAGTTATATATATTTACCCATCTGTGGCACAACACCAACTTTGGCAAGATAAACAGAAAAAAAGAAATAATATATTTGTTTACAAATGTATATGTAATAAGGTGTAAGTAAAAAATATGTTTATGAACATTTGTAAGTAAGTAATACCAATCTTGTATTAACATTAATACAAGACTAGTACTTGCAATTTTACTTTACTTAAAGTCAAAGCCAAAAAAGCTATATACATTTACCTGCTGCACCTTTGGGAAGATAAAAACAGATCAAAGAAAACATGTATGCATAATAAAGTAATACATAAGTAATACATATGTTTATAAACATTTATTGGTAAGTAATATCAATCTTGTCTTAGTATAAGATATTAAAATAAGCTATGTATATTTACCCAAGGCCAACATTGATACAGGACCTTTAGGATGATAAAAAGAACAAAGAAACATATATTTTTTAAATATATTCATAATAAGAAAGCAATGTGAAAGTAATAAATCTAGTACTAATCTTACTTGCTTATGTACAACCCCATTTCCAAAAAAGTTGATTTGTCAGACCACAGGACACTTTTCCATTTCCCCTCAGTCCATTTTAAATGAGCCCAGGCCCAGAGAAGGTGGCAGTATTTCTTGATCCTATTTATATATGATTTCCTCTTTGTGTTTAAGAGTTTTAATTAGCATTTGTGGATGCGGCGACAAACTGTTTTCACAGACAGTGGTTTTCAGAAGCGTTTCTGAGCCCATGCAGCGATTTCCTCTACAGAATCATGTCTGCATTCAATGCAGTGCTGCCTGAGGGCCCAAAGATCATGGCCAGCAAATACTGGTTTTTGGCCTTCTCCCTTGCATACAGAGATTTCTCCAGATTCTCTGAACCTTTTAATAATATTATGTACCGTAGAAGATGAAACGCAACAGTTCTTTGCTATTTTATGTTGAGAAACATTATTCTTCAATTGTTGCAATTTGATCATGCTGTCTTTCACACAGTGGGCAACCCCTCATCATCTTTACTTGTGAAAGACTCAGCCTCTCTGGAATGAACTTTACCAGCCTTTTGTTATCCCCGTCCCAACTTTTTTGGAGTGTTGCTGGCATCAAATTCAAAATGGCAAATATTTTTCAAAAAACAATAAAATTTCTCAGTTTCAACATTTGATATGTTGTCTGTGAAGCATTTTCAATGAAATATAGGGTTAAAATGATTTGCACATAATCATTTATTTACATTTTTCACAGCGTCCCAACTTTTTTGGAAACGGGGTTGTAAGAGTAATCATATGTTCAAGTGTAAGTAAGCAATAATATTTTAAATGCATTGGCAAGTTGGCATGTTCAGTGTATGTGAACATTTCTACTCCAAAAGTATTCAAACCTTAACTACAAATAATGAAATCCTTCAAATGGAGAATCTATTTTTAGGCCTGCACTCAGTGACAGTTATCCGAGTTACAGCAGTAACAGCCCCTGCTGACTGTAAAACCCCATTTCAGCTAAGAGAGGTGAGAATTAATGAGTTTAAAACAGCAGTGTCAGCATTTCATTTAAACCACCACACTGCCATTCATAACATGCAGATTAATGACTGTCACTATGTGGTGGCATTACATAATAAAAATGATTATGTTTCCATCTTTAATGTACTCTACAAGCCTATTATCAAGCTTCTGTACAAACAGCAGGAGCACAGAACGAAAGGGCATTCCGAAACACTGCTGCGGAGAGACTTCGGGGTAGGAGGGCAGGACAGCATGAGTCTCAGACTTTCTGAGGTCACAGAAACAGCTGACCTTTGAAGTGGGGGCTGTGTAGTGTCCCGCTATTGGCTCGCGCTGCTGTGGAGCGCAGGAGCGTGGAAATGCAGAGCAGCAATGTGCACAGGCTCTTGGGTGGCGTCGCACTGGGGTAGGGAAAAACTTAATGTAAATATGTTGTTGATGTTAGTTAAAATGGGTGATATGGGTTGTTTGTGTGTTGTCGTGCTGGGCTGTGGGGCTGGTCAGTGGGGTTGTGTGACTACCATGAACAGGCATTGTGTGGCTAAAGGTGACCTGCCTGCTACCCTGCTGTATTCATGGGCACTCAGCAGTGGTTCTCTCCTGCTGCTCTGTTCAATGTTTCCCACGTCTTATTCTACGCCGAAACCACAATATCATTATCAGCAGCTTTACATTATCCTAGAGGCAATGGCTTATCTAAGGCCAAAGCTGTTTCATTTTGTTGTTTCCTTATTATCAGTAGATATCAGTAGGCATGAAACAGCAGTTTTTATTATATCTTATGTAAACAGAGAATAATAGCTAATCATTTCTAAGAAACAAATATTCCAACAGGTTTACTCCATCTCAAGTAGAATCAGAATAAGTTATACACATTTACCCATGACCCCTTTTTGAAGGCGCCCTTGGTGAGCTAAAAATAGAAAAAAGAAAATATAAATATTTCTTTACAAATGTATACAAAAAATGTAATGCATCAGCAATAAATATGTTTATAAATATTTACAAGTAATACCAATATTGTATTAGTATTAGTACAAGATCTATACTTACAATTTTACTCCACTTAAAGTCAAAGCAAAATAATTTATATACATTTACCCAAGCGCATCGCTGGTGGAGTACAACCTTTGGGAAGATAAATGTAGAAAAGAGAAAACATATTTTTTAAAAATGTATATGCAATAAGAAAGTGATGTACCTGTAAGAAATGTAATACTAATTTTATTTATGTAAGAATAATCATATGTTCATAAGTACAATAATGCAAATGTCCAATATATGTGAACATTTCCACTCTAGAAGTATGTCAGTTATCTTTGGTATTAAAATTCAGAGAAACATGCTTAATGAGAAGCTAGGCTCTTTTGCTTTATAGACCAAACCTGAAGTATGAAACCTGGGTGTGTCTAAGATTCTGAGCTTTGTTTTGTCCCATGTGTAAACTCACTCACAAAAGTATTTTTTTTTATCAGTTGAGAAATGTTGCTAAAATTTGGCCTTGTCTATCTCAGAGTGATGCAGAGAAATGTGTTTATGCATTTGTTATTATTACTGTATATATTACTGTATATTACTTTTTACTGGGATTACTAGGAAAACAATACAGGCTCTACAACTCATACAAAACGCAGCAACATGGATCCTAACAAAAACAAAAAGAGAGCTCACATCACTCCTGTTTTGTTCTTTTACTAATTTTTAAAGCTCTAAATGGCCTTAAAGCACCTGTGTACCTCACAGAATGTCTGACTGTTTCTGTTCCAACATGAGATCTTAGATCTGCAGATACTGGCCTTGTGCAAATATCTTCCATAAAATACAGGAAATGTGGAGAGAAGCTTTCAGTTATTATACTTCTGATCTGTGGAGCTCAATTCCTCCTTTTATTAGACAGACAAGCTCAGCACACACTTTTAAGAAAGATTTGACAATGTATGTCTTTAATTAAGCTTTAAATCAAAATTCTTTTTTGCACTGATCTGCTACTGGTATGAAAAGTGCTCTATTAATAAAGTTATTATTATTATTATTATTATTACTACTACTACTATTATTATTATTATTATTGTTATTATTATAATTGTTAATTAGAGATGTCATTTTAATTTACTTTTACATCTTTACATTTGGAAAACTATAATTTTATCTTTGAAACAGTATATAATGAATCATGCCTTATTAGGAGTTGCGCAGCTTTTTTTTAAGTCGACAGTTATGTGATGAAAGTCGAGTCAACTTCAACTAAATGCTAGTGATGTCATGAATAAAACCTCATGAGAAAGGAATGCTTTGACACAAGTGACTTTAAAAATCTGTGCTTCTCTGAGGCGTCCCTGTTGTTGGGGTCATAATCACATGATAAGCTGTTTGTGTTTTGCTGTGCCTGAGAATTCCCAACAAACTGCAAATAAAAAATGAGCTGCAAACGCAGAAAAAATGTAATCAAAATGACAACATAAGCCCTGCATTTTACAAACACTTTCCACAATAATAAAACATGCTGCAAACTCATAGATGCTCTGCAAACTCAGAAAATACTTTCATCAAAATGACAAAACCTGCACAACATTTCACAAACGCGCTGCAAATACAGAAAACACATGCAACTTCAGAGACGCTGCAGAGTCAGTCACAGTGCAACAGAAACGTTTCCAGAAGACAGTCAAAGAAGATAAAGCCATTCAGAGTGACTCTGTGGTCTGATCAACTTATTTCTGTCAGAGATTTTCCAACACAGATTTCTAGCTCTTTTGAGAGTCCTCCAGAAACATTTCCATTGTGACTGGATGTGAAGCGTTTCTAATGTTGCTTGTGTTTTCTGTATTTGCAGCACGTTTGTGAAATGTAGCTCTGGTGTAGTAATGTTGATTAAAGTGTTTCCTGAATTTGCATTGCTTTTATGAGTTTGCAACATGTTATTAACTGTATGGTGCATTGAGTCTTACCAGTCACTGTAGTGATATAATGTGTTAAAAGTCATTTTTAATGCGTTTAAATGTGCTAATATTGAAAGCATTTAAATGAAACAGAAAGGCTCAAGGTTAAATGTCTTAAATATCATCTTTTAAACAAGACAGACTTGCTCACTACAGTCAAATAAAATACTATATATAGTTGGAGGTGGATTTGTGATCCCCCTGTGCTTTGGTTTGGATGAGCAGCTTATTAAAGAGGTAACAAAATTACTTAATTTATCCTGCACTAATTGACTAATTTTTATTTTTAGATTTTAAGTGTGTGATAAAGAAAAGAAAATGAAGACTTGTGTGAGAGACTAATGAGTACAAGAGCAGTACTGTGTTCAATAATGAATTAAATATGTAGAAATTAGCATTTTCTGTTACTTACTTCTCATGGCACCCAAACCCGACAGTGGCGTTAGTGCCCCCATAAAAGGCATCCCTAAATAGAAGCACATAAAACCAGGACACTAAGTTCTCGAGGTTTTATCCATGATGTGTCTGTGCTCAAAACAAAAGCACAATGAGAGCAAAAGTCTTATAATAAAGCAACACTAACCTCCTGTAGGAACTCTCCTCCTCAGCAGTGGTCCTTTCACAGCCTCTCCACTGCCCTTATGAACGGCAATGAAGGCTGTGTGTGAGCTGCTCACTCCAGCCTGCACACTGAGCTCCACCACTCTGGCCTTTAAAGCCTCTTTCTCAGCTCCCTCATTCTGCTCCTCCCGTTCCAGAGAGCGGATCAGAGAGCGGGCAGCCAGTCTGTGGATGGACAGTCTGAACAAACAGACAGTGTACAAGCTGTGTGAGGGTGATAAAGCCAACTAAAGATAAACGTTAACATACAGCAACTACAGTCCATCTTTTGCTATGCATAATTTATCAACCCCCTTTGACCCCATCTATCAATGGAGAGGGACCACTTTAAGATCACCAAGGTATCGGCTGGTGTACCATTCCTAATGTGGCAGTGACACCAACATGGTAGTGCGTGTGGTGCTGGTACGAGTGTATCAGGCACAGGTGTTGCTTATTTTTGAAACACTGTGTACACTTACTGTCCACTCTATTAAACTCACCTACCTTGTTGGTCCACCTGTAAAGATAGAGAAGAGACAACACAGACTATAAATTGTGTTCAGCATATTTTAGCTCTTCATCAGTGGTCGGTTTCTGACTACTGGCTCAATATCATTGGTTGGTGGACTATTCTTAACCTAGCAGTGACATTGAGGTGAATAAAAACCCAGTAACATCACTGTGCCTGACGCAATCGCACCACCACAACACACACTACCATGGTTTTATGATGAAGTCAGTTCAACTCATCCAGCTCAGTCTGACTGCTGTAGTTGTTCTTACTGTGATGTCATAACATCAGTAGAGGAGAAAGAAATGAAAAAGTAACTGTTCCTCAGAGAAAACAGTGGAGATCACAGAATGAACATGTAACTGAATGTTACCCTGTATTCTCAGCAGGCTTGAGGGAGTAGCTGAGTGTGTTGGTGACCTCTTGATCTGCTAGACGGTACTTCACTGTTACAGTCCCCTCAGAGTCTGAGCTCTGACTCTACAGACAGAAAGAAGTGTGGCTGTGTCATCAGTTCACTCACTAAATAAGGAGACTCATAACTGAAAGCAGCGCTGTGTCACCAATATTCATTTCTGAATGTTTCTAATCTATTTAAATAGCTGTAAAGCTCATGGACTACTAGATTCAAGGAAAAGGGTAAAATAGTGGAAGCTTGTTTCCCTGTAAATATCAGATTAATGCTCTCACCTCTCCTTTCAGCTGAGCGTAAATCAGTGCCCTTTGACCCTGGAAGAGTGCGTTAATGGGTGGGCTAAGGCGGGTGGCGGACATGCCCACTGGGACCGTCCACTCTTCACTAATATCAACCACAGCTGGCTGTAGAGCATAGCGGAGAGACTGCATTACCTAGAAAGAGAGAAGGAAAGAGAGTGAATAAGAGTAAATAAACAATGTAAAAGATGTTGAAGGAAAGTGATGAATGTGTTTGTGCAGAGCCGACAGCAGAGAGTAAGAATAGCACCTTTAAAGTGCTCATAAATATATTTTTCTGCTTAACTGACACCAAGATCTGAACCTTGTTTCATTTACTGTTATTGAAGTGAAAAGTGAGATAAATAAAATTAAACATTTACTCTAAATAATACATGACATTCATGAATAAGTATAGAGTTTGTTCAATGGAAATGCAAATATTAGAGTTTACACATTTACATCAAATGAAATCATAGCTAACTTACACTATTCATGTCAGTAAGGTGATAAAGTACTTTAATCATTTAATGGTTTTCAGGGCTGTATCTACTCAAGATTGGCGCATTTCGTAGGCATAAAAGCATCAACAGCTGACTTGAACATGTGCACATATGTTTATTTTATTTTAGTCACAAGTGCTCAAAGCAGTTCTAGGCGATCCACATCTGTAAATAAAAAAATAAAGTATAAAACTACATAATAATGTTCATATTTTATAAACGTCTCCTCAAGGTGTTGCACGCTCTTTAGTAAATATGGTCCAATATTGCAGAATGGATTATTATAATTTCTGCTAGTTTTAGCCAGATTTACTTTGGGCTGCATGCGATCAGTGCCTGTGATAAACTGGGCGTGGCCACATCCCTCCTGAGCCATTCCTGTGATGAGGGCGGTGCTCGCACCTTCACCAATCCCAAACGAGAAGCACCTGTTGAAACAACAGCAGCTCAGTCATTTAATAAAGACAGTAAAATTACTGATTTCTATAAAGCTGTGCTACACGATTTGCACTATTTTCACTAGTACTGTTCACAGTTGTGAGTACTTAAGCAGTGTATTACAAATCTCTTATAAATCGTCCCCTATACACCAAATTACTCAAATTTGTAAGTTAAACGACCAGCTTGCCTGTGAAAAGCTGCATGAACCACAATCTCTTTGAAAGTTTCTCTGCAGTTTCCTCCACATACTTTACTCAACCACAGTGCAGAACTGAAAGTGTACTGCTGTGATAGAACATTAGTACTTGTAAAGACAGTTCTGTGAGCTGAGTAGCTCTGTAACTAGTTACACTCTGTCAGTCTAGTTATGATTGCACAGTTGGTTGTTAACTGCATTATGAACAGTTTAACTGCTCTGAATATTTAGCCTTCTAGTTATATATTTTTAAGCGATAAAGTCTGCATGCCTGTGAGATTCAGCGTTGTTTCTTACGAGGGAAAGAACTTCTTTGGTGTTCCACACCTCTCCATCAGTGAACATGAAGACCTGCAGGAAGAAAAAAAAGACGTCAGAGAACTTCAAGCCAGAATATTCAGGACAAATTCATCAGTAAAGAGGCACTACAAAAAGTTTTTGCCTTCTCCTATACAGTTACTGTTTTGGAGATATTTGTTTTTCTTTAGACAGCGAAAGGATTCAGAGCACAGAACAACCCAACATGAGGTAAAATGTAACAAAATGTTTTTTATGTGGCTAAACAGGTTCAAGCAGAATGTGCTTCTGGTCATCTGTGTATTCCCATATCATCTTCGTACGCAAAATTTCACTTTTTTCATCACAAGTGTTTTTAGTTACTGTGCAAGTCACAGGTGCAAGTCACAGAATTCACACATATTTACATATTTTAAGCACCTTGTAGGTGCATCCAATATAACACAGTTTTGAAGCACATAATCCAGTGATTCTCAAACTCGTCCTCAGGGACCCCTCTGATGGCCCACATTTTCACCCATTGAAGTATGGATGGTGCAAAAACTGGGCCATCTGGGGGTTTGAGAACTAAAAATATAGACTAAAGCCATCTCGTGGCAGGGTTAGTTTTAATGCAGTGTTACAACTAAGCTTCCCAAAGTAAACAATGACAGAAGTCCATACTTTTAAGACCAAGAGGAAGGAAAAAAATGTTTCAACCAACGATAAGTGAGGTGCAACCAAAATTCAAAACTCTGACTTTATTTAGTTTATTTAGTTTAAATGACATTTCAGGCCTGCAGCAGAAGTAACAAAGTACCAAAGTAGTCCCTGCCTCTCCAGCTCAACTCAAAACAGCATTATGAAACATATTTTCAAAATTTGTATTTACAGGTCCAGATCAAAAACATACTACAGATGTCATTTAAATAAAATATAGTTAAATTTTACTGCACTGAAATTTTCTATTTTGCTTTACTGTTAAAATGCTACTGTTTCAGACAGTCTCCTTTGCTAATCATATATATTTTTAATGATGCAAACATTTTTATATATTCAGGCTAAAAAGCTTATCTGGTTCAAACAATAAAGAACTATATTGAATTAACCGCCCCAATTAATCAGGCTTTCCTAGTGAATGTCACAACTAGCCCCTTAGTCTGATAACCCTAACTGTGGGGTATGTGGGGTGTTTGTGGTACTTTCAACAGAATGGTTCACAAACGGCAAGTGCTACAAACAAATTTTACATTTTTATTTTTAGTAGAGATGTTTTGGTTGTTTGCATTGAAAGACTTTGTCAGATGAAAAGTATAAGATCTTGCCTAACCATCTCCTACATAACACAGATTAATATCTGAATGAGATTACAGTGAACAGGTAAGTGATGTTACCTGTCTGGGCTGGTTAGGGATGCACTGCTGACTGTAGATGTGTTTCAGAGGCTGCAGAATCTCAGTGCCACCCATGTCTGCTTCCATCTCCTTTACTCTCTTCACAGCCTGGTCCATTGTCTCCTGAGTGTATTCAACACTCTTCCTGAAGACAGCAAACACACACACACACACACACACACACACACACACACACACACACACACACAAACACACACACACACACACACACACACACCAAGTCCTGAACGTTAAACCAGTCCTGAATCACCTTCAGTGTGAAAGTGTCTCATTCATGAACTGAGACTGTGATATAAATTCACTCACGGAAAGAAAGATTCATAGTGTGAACCAAAGCCGTAGATATTAAAGTAGCAGCCCAGAGGGAGACTCTTCAACAGTAGGAGCAGAGTGTCCTAAAAAAATAAATAAAACAAACTATTAATAAGTGTTGTTGATCAAACTAAATGTATATAAAAATGCAGTTTTGATATATATACATTATATACGTGTATATACTTACTGGGGGCATCAAAGAGAAATCTAGAACTAAACCTTCATTCTTCTAACTGGCACAAAAGATATCAACTTCTTGTTATTGTTTACTGCATTAATCTTTTGAACAGTGCTGTGTATAAGATTTCACACAGTACTGTATAAATACATATTCTGATTGGAAAGAGTGGCAAATTACAATTCTGTCTGACACAGTGTCCAGTAAAAACATTCTTCATATATTCTTCAAACTCAATTTCAAAAAAGTTGAGACAGCAGGTAAAATAGAAAGCAGTGATCTGTAAATCCACTTTGACCTGTATTTAAATGAAAACAGTACAGAGACAAGATAATTAATGTTTTATCTTATCAACTTCATTGTTTTCACAAATATACACTCATTCAGAAATTGATTCATGCAACACAGGACACATTTTTACAACTAGGTACATTAAATGTTCAGAAAACATTTTAAAGAGGTGATGTAATCATGCTTGGGTATAAAAGGGACATAGAGGTAAGGCTTTTATATGCACTTTATGAGTGAGGATGAGTTGAGGCTCATCACTTTTACAAAAAATGCATCAACAAATAGAACAACTGTTTAAGAACAATATTTCTCAACCAACATTTGCAAGGATTTTAGATGTTTCAGCCACTGCAGCGCATAATAATATCAAAAGATGAAGGGAAATCTCAGTATCTAAAGGGCAAAGTTGAAAACCACTGAATGCCCATGAGCTTTTTTGCTATATTAAAAACCGGCATGGTTCTGTGATGAATGTCACTGCATCATCAATAAATACTGTTTGCCACTGCATCTACAAATCCAAAGTAAGACTGTACTATGCACAGTAGAAGCCCTAGGACAACAATGTCCAAAATGCTGCCGACTTCTCTGGGCTTGAGCTCATCTGATATTAGTGGATGCACAGTGGAAACATGCGTCAACCTTTCAGACTTTTTATGTAAATAATGGATATTGTCTTCTCTGGGACAAAAAAGAAAAGGACCATCCAGATTGTTACCAGCGTAAAGTGCAAAAGCCAGGGTCTGTCATGTTATGGGCAGGTTATTAGTAGGTAACTTCTGTGTTCACCTGTAAAAGCACCATTAATGCAGAAAGATATATACACATTTTAGCGACATATGCTGCCTTATAGACATTATCTTTTTCAGGGACGTCCACACTTATTTTAATTCTTGTTGCTGCCTGGCATGTTGTTCTGCATGTGGGGAAGAGGCTGCCAATGTAATGGGGTGGCTCAACTCTTCCCACATGGACATTGAGCAAATTAGCTTAAATGAAAGTTCTGTTTACTTTCAATATGTCTCCTTGCTATTTACTGCCAGGGCAGGTTAGCTGAAATGCCTTTGTTTAAACACACCCCTATTTTAAACTTTTGACTTTAAATCCATAGGGGGAATCCAGAGAGAGCAAAAGTGGCTGTTCGTACCAATAAACATATTCATCATATGTACAGTCAAAGCTTTCAACTCTGGAATTGTAGCTGCTCATTCTTGTTCGGACAACTAGTTGATTCTTGTTACAGTGGAGGCTCTCGAGGGAAACTGAAACTTTGAAATTTTCTTTTGTTGGTCGGCTGCTGGTTGACTTATCTATAGGTCTATATTTTCTTTGTTTGACACTCCTAATCATCAGTAGTTCCAGGCATCGAGTTTATGTTTATGCGCTGTATGTTGCTGTGACTGTAGTTCACTTGTTCAAATACAGCTTTTAAATGGCAAGCAAAGTTATTTCTAACTACTGCAATAAATCCATTCTGATGGAGCTTATTTTTTCAGTGTTTTCACTTCAGTTCAGTGTTGAGTCTTACCCTGGCACTCGCGATGCGCATCTGTGCACCTGATCCATTATGCATCGGACAGCCCATACTGCCAGATCTGTCCATTATGAACACAAATTCACCACAAGATGTTACAGATGACATCAGCGCTGAAGGGAACTCTGGGTACAAACTTAGCATGACCACAGGGTCTCTCATCAGAGTTCCTAAAGGAAGGAGAAATGAAAGAATGTGTATTGGAAAGAAAGTAAAAGGACAGACCGGAAAAAAGAAAAAGTGTGATTAATAACACTTCAGGAAACAAATTGTCGCTGTCCAAAGTAAAACAAGTATCTCCAAAATAGTAACTTTCTTTACTTTTATGTAAGTCAACATGAAGACATTTTTATAGATATTTGAAGCGTTTCTTTTGGTTTATTGAGCATGAAATTTTCACATGATGTAAAGGACAGCCACCATGTTAGAAGGATGCACAAAACTTAAAATCAACAAAAATGAGATAAAAAAAGAGAAAGACATGTTTTTCTTTGGACAGCGACGAAATATATGTCAATTTATGACAACCAAAAAATGGTAGCACCAGTTGAATACACTACTTTCCTAGGTTACTTTTCTTTGGATTATCAGATTTTTGCAAACATGAAATAAGATTCACTATCCAGCACCAACATCAATGAACAACATTTTCTTAATTAAAAACATCATCTCTTGTCAGATACATAAAAAATCCAGAAGTGTTTGGTCATATTTACATCTCGTTTCATAGTTCATGTTTATTTCTATTTATCCATGACTTCACAATAGCCATAAAATACAGTTTCCACCTGTTCTGGAGGTCCCTCAGTTGAACTATTGTTTTCTTCAATAACATTTATGGAATATATTTTGTTGGGAATGATTTACAAAACCTCCTTATCTTAGTGGGTGAGCAAGCAAGTCAGCATTTAGAAAGCATCTGGTATTGAAATGCTATTTTTTATTACAGGAGTTGTACATGAATTTTTGAAATTAAGAAAGCTTTAGTTACCTTCACCCCCACTGAGCTCGCTAGCAGCTCAACATAGTTACTATATTTCACATAAATATCCAAGCCAGTTGAGTTACTGCTAGGCAGCCTGCAGAAAGAAGTCTACGGTATTCTGTAAAATATTATTCATTTAAGTTTGTTCAATAAATAACCGACTAAAATTGTGTTCAGTTAGTCTGATAACAAAGTTACGGTGCCAATATTTTATTTGATTATATTTAGTACCGATACTGTATCTGTATTAGTGCCGATACAGGCTCTTTAAAGCAGTATGGGTATCAGTGTTAAGGATACTTAAGCAATAGAACACGAGAGGTTGTGTGTTATTGCAAAATAACATCACGGCTGCGATTTGGCCATAGATCATCACAGCTGTGATGTTATACGCGATAACACATGGCCTCGAGTGTTCTATTGCTTTTATACAAAAGTTAAATAAATAAAGTAAGAAATTAATAAATTGCCGTGAATGTGTCGTTTAATATGTTTTAATGTTAGCAATTCCTTCCAAATAATTATAGTTTTTTAAAAAGCAGCTTGTTGCTACGTCACAGTAACGAGCTCAGCTCACTCGCTGTACAGCCGGAAGTTCGTTCTCCAACTCCTTACACTAAATTCCGAAACACCATCACCACTAAACAGCTTTTTTGTTTTTTACTGCAGCAGTTTTATGGCTCAGTCCGATTTGGTCAGACTCTGAAGATGAGACTACACGTTTGACCAAATATGACCTTAAAAGTATCCAACTGACCCAGCAAAGGCAGTAAAGCAGGTTTTTATTTTGGATCATTATTATTATCTCTTATAAATCTGACTTTTAAAGCATACTAACTGACATAATACTTGAGAATATAGCCTAAATGTTCCGCTGTGTTATTATTTCCCCATCCCAAACTGCATACTAATATACTTAATAGTGTGTAAAAATAGCACACATACCATTAGGACTGCACTCATATAGTAAATGAACAAAAAATAGGCTTAAGCAATATATACATTTGAACAAGTAAATGCCATTAGCATCTTACAGGTTAGTTACCTTAGATAGAGTTAGTGTCGTTATCTGTACTCGGTATAGGAATATTTTTAAGGATGAGGTATTAGTATTGGAAGGGAAAACATGGTATCAGTGCATCTCTAATTATATTATGTAAAATGTCCAAGTTGATTTGTATCCTGCTGGCAGAATGTTCACTAGGGGGCCTGCAGAAAGAAGCTACATTACTTTTTCTAGTGTATTATATTCAGTGAAACGTACCAATACTACTCATTTAAGTCAATAAGCTTTTGTTTGTTTAACTGAAGTGACTGAAAGTGTGTTTAGTTTACCTGGCTGTGCTGTGGGCTCTCCTGCCTCCACTATAGCAGTGGGCTGGTGGGCGTTCTGATAATATAGGAACAGCTCGACATCCCTGTCAAACATATGACCTGCAGACAGACTCACCTAAACACATAGCCATATACACATACATACACACATGCACACACAGAATTAGACAGAGTTGTGAATGTCAGTCAGATTGAGGTTGTGCAGATATCAAAACTGACCCTCTATATCAGAGAATGTGAGTGGTGCAGAGAGATTGAATCATATGGAGCAGACAGGCAGCAGGTTTCTCTGATGTGTGAGTGCTGAGTGAGTGCGTTTTAAAACACACTCATACCTTTGCATTTGTGTGGTCTGCGTTGAGGAACATCAGAGGCTCAAGAGGACATTTGGACTCTACTTTAGTGATGGGGTTGGGAGAGCTCACATGGGCTGTGAGAGAGAGAGAGTAGGGAACACCTGCTGGTGATGATGTTATCTCTGACACTATACCACCACCTGTACCTGAGAGAAAAACAGAGGAACCTGAGATAAGAGCTCATTTAGTTTGTTCAGCATGACTCCTTACATTCAGATAAGGTATATAGTGCAATACTTTATATATTACTACATATATCTGAGAGTACAGTGCTTAAAATAATTATGTGTACTCAAGACTGAAATATTTCACTGAACCTGACAAAACCTGTTCTGGATGGGTTCGGATATCTTTACTCAAATATTTTTATAAGTTCTGTTCGGGTTCAAATTTTATCTTTAGGTTTCTCATAGCCTTCCACTTTTAGTAGATTTTGGCTGTGTGTCCCTCAACTTTATTCTTTCTCTCTACTTTTATTACCTTAAACATTTTTAATCTGGCACACTGGAACCACTTGTGCTGCTGGGAAGTCCATGAGTAAATGGTTAAAAAAAAAACAGCAGGTTCAGTCAGGCTGGGACAGAGTTTTGTCGAGCTGCAGTTCTACAGGGTTCAGATTCTAAACTTGGTGCTGTGAGTTGAACTACATTCAGGTCCAGATCATAATTTCAGACCTGATTAAACCTGTAATGTGTAACAGGCCAGGTGTTGTGCTGTTCAGGATGGTGTGTTTGGTTCATGATGGAAAGGTGCAGCGTGTGTCTTTCAGTTTGGTACCTGGTGGTGTGTAACGGGGGTTCAGCACTGCAGGCAGGCAGAAGCGCAGGGCGTGGTCAGCCTGCACAGAGAGCTCAGTGACGTAGATGAAGGTGACAGCAGCACTCTGGGCTGGAGGCAGACTCCCCACACTCAGCCTGAACACATCCTCACTCTCGTCACTCTCCTCCAGCAGAAAGGCCTGATCTCCTGAAGCAATCGCATCATCATACTCCTCCCGCGCCTGAAGTACAGACAAAACACTTCAGTCTGGAGCTCTACAGAAAGTCCTGTCAAAAATAGTACATAATTGTCTAATAGTAATTATTTAAATTGACCACAATTACTATTTTCACATGTTTACATCGTAACAAACAGAATGTAAATTTGATGTGTTTTCATCAAATACATGTAAATAAAATAAAGCAGAAAACACGTTTATTGAGACCCACCATGAGTCTTATAAAACAACAAAAGATCTAACTTTTGATTTGGGGCTATAAAAACTTTAGAGGGCAGCAGTGATGTTTGTTTATGTGAGCTCAAGCTGTGTCTGTCATCAGTTGGGAACATAAAATGAACAAACTGTAAACAGCAATTATTGACACTAAACAAAAATATAAACACAACACTTTTTACTGGAAAAGTTTTAGTGAAACTCCACAAAAAACAGGGCGGGTCATGAAACTGAATTCCCACATTAGTATCTGGTGTGATCACCATTTGCCTGTAGCAGTGCAATACATTTTTAGGAAATATTCTTTTTTAGTATAATTTTTTTTTAGCTGCAAAATGGGAGCAAAACCAAAAAAACAATGTATTAACATTGTTGTTCAGTATATTTGGCGATTAATCTTTAGCTAAAATTTCATGATCGCAACAGCCCAGATCATCCCAAGAGTTTCCTAAATGTCTGCTTCATTTCCTCCTCCAATCACTACTTAGCAACCACTCAACTGTCCTCCATTACTTCAGTCAAGCTTTCAGGTTTTTTCTTTAGTGGTGAGCTGGTGTTCCTGTGAATGTACTTATAAAATATCAGCCACCTGAGTTAAAGAAAAAAGTTATATCATCCTTGTCAGGAGTGATCGGCGAGCTGTCTACTTCTGCACATAATGTCATCAGAGGTAAGATATAAATGAAAAAAAAAAATCCACCCCTGCCATGGCAGTATGCTTTAGGATGCTTGACGGTTATTAAATTTGCTGCTGTTTTGTCTTTATTATGTAACCTTCAGCTGTACAATTTTAATTTATGTTGTCTTAATTGACGTAAATGTTTTACTTGTTAATAGTGGTCACATATTTTTAAGAGAAATGTTGTTGGTTGTTGGGTTTATGTTAAACTGTGCTCTTGTTAATGTGCGCCTAATCTTGCTATTGTTTTGCCCTGATCGGAAAAAAAATATGCGTTTATGGCAGTGATGTGCTCAACACGGCAGTTAGTATGCTGCCATCGTGGTGCTGCATAGACCTAATGTAACCTGCTGTGATATCATACAAACATTCCCTGACCACCCAAAAAGGTAGCCAGGTAAACGCTTACCAAACATTTGTGCCCTGGAGCCCATAACTTGGTGACAACCATATCTACAGGTTCATGTTGCTTTTCCTCTCAGAGAGAGAAGAATATTATGACACTAAATTCTAGTCTGAAAGTGTGAGAGTGTATGCTGATTTTCAGTATCTTCAGTAGTCAAAGTAACTCCTGAAGCATGGCAAAGTGGAAAGTCATCTGTTTTCTATTTACACGTCTATCACTATTATAAATGTCTATCGCTCATCTTGCACAGTTCGCTTTTGAAAGCAACCAGTGACACAGGGTGTACGTCAAACACCAGCTGTAGTGAAAAGTACACGCTAACAGAAAACATGCTGAGATTTCAGGTGTGATCTTTGCTTTTTTTTGTTGAATCACTGGAAAACTTTAAACACTATCAGTGCTCTAAAGCAGTCATGCTAAGTTGTATATGATCAGTGCTGGTCTGGTGACTTTGTTCCTCTTTCTCACCTTCTCTTTCTCCTGCACCTTCGCCATTACCTCCTTGTCTGCAATCTTGGCACTGAAGTGGCAGAGAGCAGCTTCTGCAGGCATGGGGAAGACAAACAGGGCCTCCAGGGGGCGCTCTTCTTCATTTACATACTGCAGAGTGGAGCTCACTGTAGCTACATGACCCTTAACCTTTAGATCCACCACTACGCTCTTCAGATGAACTGGGCGGGAAATATGTAGGAAGGACTTGGTTAGTAATTTCAGACAAAGACCTACAGGAAACTGAACCACAGTTTCAGCTGACTGAATGACTGAATTCCCCATAAAGTTCACTGACTTGGGCTAAATGATACCCCTGTAAAGTTACATGGCAGAAATGGGTCAATAACAGATAACACTACTTTATTTTTTAAAGATGATGAAGGTACCTTAATCTAAGTGTGTTTAAATGAAAGATATATCACTTTTAATTGCTGCCCCTGAAGGCTGCATAACATAATGATGGAATATAGTCTACATACTGTTCTTGTTATTATTATTATTATTATTATTATTATTAGTGGTAGTATTAGTAGTAGTAGTAGTATTCTTATTAATGCTGTTGTAATGCAATTATTCAGAACAATTACAATACACATGACTACAATAAACAAAAGGGTAAATTAACAAGATAGTAGTGAAATAAACTGTAAATTATTGCTATGTATAGTAATGTATAACTGCAGCATATGATATATACAGTAATGGAAACAAAGAGAAATGAAAAAATAAAGTAACAAGAAAGAAAGAAGAAGAGATATAAGCTACATGGACATGTAACAGATATTCCAAAGCTCTGAATGTTTCAGGAGTCTATTACTCTTTGTATTGCTCATCATTTCGATGGATATTATGAAATACATATGTATACTGAATATTAAAATATCTGAGAGGAAGATGTGTTTCAACTGTTCTGGTCTCCGTCAGGAAGATAAACCTCAGTGAAACCTCAGTTTCAGCGACATCTAGTGGCGGATGTGTGATTTATCAACGACCTTTCAGACCTGCGTGTCTCTCTGCCGTTTATTTATTTGGGGTTTTAAAGAAACGTAAAGAAAACAGTGTCAGCAGGAGAAAAGGGTGAGGAGAGCTTCTGTTCTTACCTGGTTCATTCTTGTCGGTCAATAAGCCGCAGTTCACCATCTTGTTCAGCTGCAGAACCACAACGTGGGCGGGACCTGATTTTCTGCAACACCAACAACAAAGTTTACCAGAGCGAAGTTTTCTCACTCAGTGAACGAGAATCAGACTGTTTAGTGAACTAAGAACAGAAAACCAGCCCTTACTGTCAGTCAGTGACCTCGAAAACACATCAAACCCAGATCAAGTGAAGCGAAAGTGAAAGAGAACCTACCTTTAAATGTAGAGCTGACAGCTGCAGTGGAGCTGAATTAAAGCTGTGTCTGATTCAGCTTCGTATGTCTAATCGTTCCCAGCACAGTGACTGAGCAGCTCATTTACTGAGATGAGCTCAAATGAGGAAGATGAGTACAGCACAGTGAGAGTCTGCAGGGCTGCATAACCCCGCCCACTCCGGGGCGACTCACTGCAGTCAGTCAAGACTGTTTCACTACTCAGGAATCAGAGAAGAAAAACAATGAACACATGCAATCACAGCACGCTCACTATGTAGGCTACCTGCTTTTCAAGGGCTTTCATCAGCAGGGGCGGAGCAAAGAGGCGGCCAGTACCGGGAAGCCCAGCCCTCTGACCAGCCCAGTCCAGCACAGTGAGACAGTCAGCCCACCCCCTTTATTCTGAAAAGGAAAAGCGCCCATGACGAGATCTAAGGGCTTAATCTACAGCTGAGCAAAACCTGTGTACACTTAAAATTGTCACTGGAGGGCAGCACAGTTTGGTTGCATCTATAATTTTACAAAATGGCTTTAAAACAAAAGCCTGAAGGGTTTTTTTTTTGTTTGTTTGTTTGTCATCAACTAAGCTAACTAAGTTGTCACCAATTTCATTTCTGTTAATGTTCAAACTTCTCTCAGCCCGCTCAAGACACAACCATGTTTTAATATAAGACAGTGAGACTTTGTTTATTTGAACCATAAAAATTAATAAACTTCATCGTAACACCCGCTGTTTAAAATGGCAGTCTGCAGTTTTTATCTTTATGGTGAATTTTTCTTCATTTTTAACAGTTTATATTAAATCAAAGTTTGTATTAAACCACAATGAGTAGGCTGGGTGACATTAAGACCCAGATGTGTTCTGGGTGTGTTGAGAGAAGGTTTTGGGCACATATTGATAGACATAACATATGCTGTTAAAAAAAGATGATTATTGAGGGGTTCTTTAGTAAAGACATTGGTTTAGATCCACCAACACTCAAAGAACTATTTGCATGGTTGAATATTTCTTTTCATGGTGAAAATGTTCTTCAGATTGATTCAGAATGTGTTGCGTACGATTCTATACAGCACCAAGAATGGTTCTTCAATTGTTACAAGAGATCACAACAATAGCAGAACACTTTTTGGTGCTATAGAATCATTTTCAAAAGGTTCTGTATACAACCTTATACAACATATTCTGCATCAATCTGAAGAACATTTTCACCACGCGAACAACCATTTAAGCATGCAAATGGTTCTACATAGAATTATATCTTTAATAAAGAATGTGTAAAGAACCATCTTTTTAAAAAGTGTGAGCCTAGCAGCTCCAGTTCTAAACTAAAGAATGACAATTTGCACTTCAGACATGTTTCTACTGATCTAGGGTAAGTGGAAAATTGTGTAAATTAGATTTTTTTTTCAATGCTATAAATGATTCTTTCCATTATGTTTGCAGTTCATATGACTTAATTGATGTACCCCTTATCTGTTCTGATAATGAATTTTCTGTTTTAGAGGTTTAGTTCTAATTCACTGAAGTTTGGCTGCAATTGTGCATAAAGTGGAGATGTAAGTTTTGCAGTTGTGCCTCATATAACGAAAAGACTATAGTAAACCATTACAAAGATAATCATCGACGTGGAAGACAGAACATTTTTTTTGGACTGCCTTGAGGAATATGTAAGTGCAGGATCTGATGACACTAAAATTTGTCGCTATGTTTTATATTTCATCTCTCACTGTACTGTATACATCCTGTAGAACACAAATGAGAGGAGAAGGACTGCAGCTTTGATGGTCTGCAACACTACCTTTTTGAAAATCTAGCAAATGCATACAGGATGTGTGATGTAAGACTATATCTGATGGTGGTGGCTATGGACGGGATGCAAGTTGGCCTCCTGATAGGCCATGAAGGTGTTCTACAGGATGCCTTTCCTCGAGAGAACTTCGGTGTGGCAGTTGTGGTGGAGGAGACCATTGTACTACACAACCTCAAAGACGTGCCATGCAGCTTTGCCATGCTTATGGGTATTATCTTTTGTGTGAATCGCGAGTATTCACAGGCTACGAAGTATTGCTTTGAGTTTCTACAGCGAGTGGTGATGATCAAACCAGACCAAGCCTCTGCACGAATACATGGATTGAAAAACAAGCTTCTAAGGTACAAACTATGAATCATCTGGCTACTTGGCTGTCACCAGCTGTTAGTGATTGAAATGTGTATTTCATGCTTTGTTTGTTGAATGTTTTCATTATGATGGAACTTACATGTTTAGTTCTGTCTTGTAAGATTTTTTTTCCCTCATTGTTAACATGGGTAAACACATGCACACACATTCTTGAATATACATACTATTATGTAAACAGCCAGATACTAATGCACACACTCCGACACACTTAGTTGAACACAAACATGCACTCACACAAATGCAAGAAAGAAATGCACTGAAGAATTAAATATTTGCTAAATTGCCTTTTTCAAACTTTTGCCCTTGACTTGTCATGTGTGTTCTTGTTATGTAGAATTTTGTTCAATGCGTTGTTGCATTTCAGCAAACCATCTGCACTCAAACTCTCTCTCATACACATACACATGTTCTTATGCAGTGAGCAGGTCTTGGCAATGTATATTTCAAGATTTAGTCAAATGTCTTAATGTTTTGGTTTATATTGGCTTTCAACATGTCACTTTTGACATGTCTTTGTGAATATGGAAGCGCGGACACTCATACACTAGAACATTTACTTTGACACACACCCACATCTATATATTTGTGTAATGAGTAGGTCTCTGAGATTCAAACTGTAATTCACAATTTGAAACACGAAACACTTTCACATATTCTTTACTTGAAAACTAATGTCAAGTCTTCCTTTCAAGGTTTAGGATGTTTCTAGAAACTAGCTTCTAGACATGTCTCTTCAAAGAATGTATTTTTATATATGATTGTTAAGATAATGTAAGCACACACACTCAGATACTCATAAGGGAGTATTTACTTTGACATGCACACACATACATATTTTGCTTTTTAGTTTAAATCTGGAGCTGCTAGGCAAACGATGCTAACAAACACTAGAGGTCAACTGTCCCCCACATTTTCTCTGTAATTACATGTTCAAAAGCTTCTCTCAGCACACTCAAAATGCATTCAGGTCTTCATTTATGTCGGCCAGACGCTTTAAAGTACAGTAAGACTTAATATGAACTATAAAAATGAATATAACTTCACCACATGGCTGAACGCTACAGACCAGCACTTTAAACAGCAGTGTACGAAGTCACACCATAGTAAACCGGTATTCATACCATTATAAACTAAAGAAGCAAAATTTGGACTCAAGACAAACATGTCTTGACTGGTCAATTACATATGGGGTTAGGGGAAAATTCATTTGATTTTTGCTGAACTATTCCTTCAATTACACTAAACTGAACGTTGAAGCTGTTTTCCATCATATTCCTGTTGGAAATAGCACCTGTTTGGAATGTTGCCTTTTTGTTTTACACCTTTGTGTGTAAAAGTTATTGTATTCAACTTTTCATCCAAGAAAATAAAAGTGAGATGTTGCCTCAAAAGTGATGTTTGTTGTTATAACTGTAATTCACAATTTGAAACATGAAACACTTTTACATATTCTTTACTTGAAAACTAATGTCAAGTCTCCCTGTTAACTTAAATAAGTAAGTTGTGGACAATAACTGGGAAAAGTGAACAAATAATAAGTCACACAAAGTCGCAAATTTAAATAATCGGAAGTGAATATAGGTTAATAAGTCATCTGTATCTTTAACCTGTGTTGCTAAGTTGAAACAACACACACTATACAATACCAACTTGCAAAAAAGATCTGCTGTGACACCTTATTTATTTATTTATTAATTCGTTCATTCATTCATTAGTTTGCTTTTCTCCCTTTGTTTCTCCACAGCCCAGACAGTCTTTTCCAGAAGCTCCTTTTTTCCTGACTTCATCTCCTGCATCTTCTTCAACTTCTTCTCTTCCTCTACTTTTTTAACTCCTTAGCCTTCTTTTTCTGCTCCTTCCTATCTTTCTCACCAAATCCCTCAACCTCTGCTCCATCACGGCATTGCGGTTGGACATGCTAGTTCCTTTTCTCTCATCATCTCCTCCTCTGCAAGTTCCTTTTCTCTCATCATCTCCTCCTTTTCTGCTCTCCACGTATCTCTTTCATTCAGCATCTCCTTCTTCATATTGAGGATTGTGCTTTTCAGCAGGCAGTTTTCGTTCTCCAGGTCCTCCAGGCAGCTCTGCATGGCCGCATTCTGCTCCCTCTCCTCTTTAAGAGCACTCTCAAGGTGCTCCCTCTCCACATTAAGAGCACTCTCAGCCCTCTCTCGCTCTCTCAGCCCTCTATAGACTTCATCAAGCTCTTTAGCAATCATTAGATTTAGATAAAACAACGCGAGCTCCACTTTCTCCTGTTTTTTTCTGCGTGCTGCCTACTCTGCAAGAAATCTGAATTGTTGCTCATGATCGACAGCACTGCTTAACTGTCCTACGAAAATCGAACGACTTGTTGCAAATTCTTCTATTATATCCATTTTTCAGGACACTGCACTAAAAACAGCACAATAAACAACGCTTTCAGTTCTCACAGAGTGATGATCACAAAGAGCGCAGTACTGCACCGCTTAAGTGTAACAGTGGAAAGAGGAGGTTTTTCACTCCTATATATAACCTTGGATTGGTGACGTCATCATCCACGTGATGGTCACGTGACCAACCACACAATGACATCATCAGTGACAATGTGCCCTTTATGATGTCACCCAGAAAAGAAAGTTCTACAAAAGATGTCACTCAAGAAACATGTGCAATTCCAGCCTGAACACTATGGGCGTCCTGCTGTAGGCTTGTACATTGAGTTAATGTTAAGCCAACAGTTTTAAAACAAAATAATAAAATCCTCAAGAAAAGTCTTAAGCTCATAAATACAAACACAAAGTCACGAATTTAAATAATTAGAAGTGAATAAAAATCAGTTTCCCAAAAGAAAGCCGGTGCAGTTCCTCGATCAAACGCTAAAACATCGCTGCTGGGCTGCATTCAGTACCATTACAGAGCGACACTTTAGGTAAAATACTGTCCAAAATTCTGCTATTTAAAGAATATTGCACTCAGAAAGCGTGATAGGATTATATAACGGAGGGAACGTAGTGATCCACGCTCACGTTTGTGTGATGCATATTGTTTGTGTGATGTTTATGTAGATAAGGCCGTGTGGTTGTTGAAGCTCAGAAAACCTGTTGAT